CCAATTGCAATTAATGGATTTTTTTCTATATCTGGAACATAACTTGTTCCATTTTCGAAGCTTATATTGAATATTAATGCACTGTCAAGGCGTTTTTTCAACTCCTCGTTACCGACTACAGATTGAGTTACTTGTGGCAGTTCCATGAGAAGTCTTGACTTTCCAATACCTGCACCACCCATAATGGTAAATAGAGGAGTGCTTTTCTTTCCTCTGTTGCCTTTCTTGTAAGCATAGAAAAATCGGGTTAGTGACCTCTTTAGAATTTCCCGTAAGTCAGGTGCTTCTTGAAAATCCCAATCGGCACCACTAGTAGATAACAATCGAAGTGGACCCTTATATTCAAGAATGTATGGAAATAAACCTATTTTGCAAAAAAGGAAAAAAAATAAACCTTTAAATGCAGGAGACTAAAATATGCTTACCTTCGATCCCAATCAGAGCTAGTGGATTTTAGTAGTATCTAAAATAGCGTTATTTTTTAGCAAAATAGCTAGCAACATTGTGCTAAGATACGAAATTTACTACTTTTGTGATTTATATAACCGAGTAAATTATATGGAAGTTTTAAATGATGGCTAGAGAACTTACTAAGATGATAGATTAAGAACAAATCAAAGAGCATACGACTACATTAAAATTTATATTTGACAAACATAAATTTTGTAATAAGATATTTTGATAATTTTGCAAAATTTACTAGCTAATTTTGCTAGCTAGTTTTGCTTCTAACGACCACTGGCTCTGATTCCAATATTGAGATGGAATAAAAAGTTTAAGCCATCTTACAAATAATGATAAAATCTGATTTTTAGCACAAAAACTTTACATGCTCTATTCTATGGTTAAATGCCTGAGTCACGAAATCGCTCTCTGTTGATAAAGTACTTACCACGTTTAAAGAATTTAAGCAAATTAGATGCGGATTTCTCATAAACATAGAAAAATCGGGTTAGTGCCCTCTTTAGAATTTTATGTAAAGTAGGAGCCTCTTGAGAACCCCAATCGGCACCATTAGTAGACAACAACTGAAGTGGATCCTTATACTCTAAAAATGTTTAGGAGTGAACATATTTTACAAAAAGAAAATAAATAAATTGCATTAGTCTTTTAAATGCAGGAGACTAAAGTGTGCTTACCTTCCGATTCTAATATTTGAATGAATAAAAAGAGTTAAGCCATTTTTACAATAATGATATAACTCTAATATATGCCTAAGTCAAGAAATCGTTTTCTGTTGAAAAAGTACTTACCAGGTACTTTTCGTGTAAAGAATTTAAAGAAATTATATTTGGCTTCATTACATCTTTCGACATAAATAAGACCTTTGTCAAAGGTAATTTTCAACTCTTCTGGCTCTTGCAAACGATCTTGAAAGTTCATGTCATTTCTTCTAGAAGGTACAGTTCGTTTTCGTTGGTGACTTAACAATCGAGTAGGGAATTGGAAGATTACTTTAGAAATCGAATAAGTTTCAGTATAATGATGACAAATCCGTAAAGTATGAATTCTTGATGTCGCTTTAAAATATAACATTTTTCAAATTTCTCCTACTGATTTATGGATACCTGAAGTCGATAATCGACAATCACGGGAGATGATTCAATTTTCTTGTGATTGTGGTTGACCAATAAAATTAATAGAATGAGTAGGGTTGGGCACGGGTAAAAAGATCGGATTACCAGTATGACATACCGATATCGACCAAATTTTCAAAATTTAAACCACCGACTAAATTCGACAAAATTTTTTTATTCGAATTCTATGAATCCGTAAAGCCTAAATAAAAAAAAAATTCGAATTTGGTCAAGTTGTCATGGAAATATCTTCACTCAAAGTTAGAAAAAAATCAAAACGCCCATCAAAATAGAAGCTATACCAATTTTCTAGAAAAATTTAAGCGAAGAAATCTCACAAATATCCGATCAAATTCTATGGAAATTTTTTTTATTTGAATTCTATGTATCTATAGAATTCAGGTAATAAAAAAATTCATCGAACTTGGTCAGGCGGTTATGGAGATATCTTCGCTCAAAGTTAGAGAAAAAATATCAAAAATAGAAACTGCGCCAATTTTTTAAAAGTTTGAGCGAAGATATCTCCACAACCAACTGATTAAATTCGATAAAAAATTTTTATTTGAATTCTATGAATAAAATTTTACTGAATTTTGTCAGGTGGTTTGGAGATATCTTCACTCTAATTTTTAAAATAATAGTGCAGCTTCTATTTTCTATATTTTTTTCTCTAATTTGAGTGAAGATATCTCTACAACCATCTGATCAAACTCTGTAAAAATTTTTTATTTGAATTCTATGAATCTATAGAGTTCAAATAAAAAGTGATTGTTGAGATATCTTCGCTCAAACTTTTAAAAAAAATTGACACAGCCCTATTTTTGATATTTTTTCTCTTGAGTGAAGATATCTCCACAACCATCTGACCAAACTCGTGAAAATTTTTATTTGAATTCTATGAATCCATAAAATTCAATAAAAAAAAATATTTAGCGAATTTGGTCAGGAGGTTGTGAAGCTATCTTCGCTCAAGCTTCTAAAAAATTGGCGCAACTTCTATTTTTGATAGACGGTTTGATTTTTCTCTAACTTTGAGCGAAGATATCTCCACAACCTTCTGACAAACTTGGTGAAATTTTTTTATTTGAATTCTATGGATCCATAGAACTCAAATAAAAAATTTTTATCGAGTTTGGTCAGGCGGTTGCAGGGATATTTTCGCTCAAACTTTTTAAAAAAATTGGTGCAGTTTCTATTTTTGATAGACATTTTAATTTTTCTCTAACTTCGAGCGAAGATATCTCCATAACCAACTGACCAAGTTCAATGGATTTTTTTTTTTTTTTTTTTTATTTTAATTCTATGGATTCATAGAATTCAAATAGAGAAATTTCCATAGAATTTGGTCATATATTTGTGGAGATATCGTCGCTCAAATTTTTTTAAAAATTTGGTATAGCTTCCATTTCAATATGCGGTTTGATTTTTCTCTAACTTTGAGTGAAGATATCTCCATAATAATTTGACCAAATTCGATTTTTTTATTTTTTTATTTAGGTTCTATGGAATCATAGTATTAGAATAAAAAAAAAAAAATCATAAATTTAGTCAAGCGATTACCGAGATATTTTGATTTAAAATTTGAAATTTGATCAATATCAGTATGTTATACCTAGGGATGGTAAAAATACAGTTTAAAAATGTTTTGTGTTTAAAACGTTTTAAAACATTAACAGCTGAGTTTGGTTAATTTCTGTACCGGAAAAGTTCCATAATATCGTTTCAAGAAAACATTCATTACGTCAAATGTTTTAAAACGTATTAAAAACTATTTTAAACCAAACAAACATGTTTTTTAAGATCATGTTTTAAATCATTTGCCATCCCTAGTTATACCGGCGCAAAATCACGTGAACGGTAGGTGTCCGGAAAACTACCCATCGACCGTATATCATGTGCATGAGTGCTAATGTCGAGAACATGAGTTATCTTTGAAGGATCCGATTTCAAAATAACGCCCACAAACGTTATTTCGCGTTTATACGGTAATCTATTGAATGAAATCCGTTCGATTGTATTCCATGGTTCTAAACTGAAATTCACTGATGCAATCATTCTCATTTTTACGGGGTCACATGCCAAACATCGAGCCTTTATTACCATTTTAATCATCGTCAAATATCATATATATATTTTATTATATCATTAAAAATTTATTGTAATAATTACTGACTGAATAGAATGGTAATCTAAAGGGTATTAATTAGTAGTAAGTAAGTGTTTGTAAGCATG